CATGAGGATCATTTGAGCCCAGGAGGTGGAGGCTGCAGTGAGCTGAGATTGCAAGTTTGAGACCAGCCTGGGCAACATGGCAAAATGCCGTCTCTTAAAAAAAAAAAAAAAAAAAAAAAAATGGGATGAAGGAAATAGGACATTCAACATAAGCAAGAAAATAAGGAAAGTTCCAGAATGGTGGTGGTAGAGAAAGTTGTTCTCTAGGCTGCTGCACTGCTGGTCCGGAATGGAGCAGTCCTGAGCAAATCCTGCCCAGCAGGCTAGAACAGCCACCTGCCTTCAGTATTTGCCTGTTCATAACACAAAGCTTTAAATACTCAGCTGAAAGAGGTTCTCAGGAATGGCAGAACAACCAAAAGTTTGCCCTGGCTCTTGATAAAAGAGAACTGAAGAAGAAAAGGGTATTTGCAGGAAGAATGAATCATGGATTCTCTGAGTCTGCAGACTTCTTGCACAAGTATAATGAAACCTCTGCAGATATTTCTACCACATCTCTAACCAATCACTCATCTAGCGTAGGACACAGGCTGGTTAGCACAGTGACAGCGTGCCTTCAGCAGGTATACCATCACACTCCCCAAAGCTCTGTTTATTCCATACCATTTCCTTAACTGAAAGGAAATTGTCTCTCTTCAGTTTGTGCCCCCTTGTCCTAACTTCCCTATGAAGGCGCACAGAACAATCTTATTCATAAACAGCTCTTCCAATATTCACACATTATTGCAGGCTTTACTTCCACCCACTACACTCATGCTTTCTGTAAGCCGGTTGTTCTCAGAGTTTAGCCTGCATCAGAACCACCTGGAGGACATGTTTAAGCCCAGCTTGCTAAGCCCCACACCAAAGTTTCTGATTCAGCAGATTTGGTGTGGGGCCTAAGAACTTGCATTTCTTTTTCTTTTCCATTTTTTTTTTGAGATGCAGTCTCTCTCTGTTGCCCAGGCTGGAGTGCAGTGGCATGATCTTGGCTCACTGCAACCTCCATCTCCCAGGTTCAAGTGATTCTCCTGCCTCAGCCTTCCGAGTAGATGGGACTACGGGTGTGTGCCACCATGCCCCGCTAATTTTCTGTATTTTTAGTAAAGACGAGGTTTCACCATGTTGGACAGGCTGGTCTCAAACTCATGGCCTCGAGTGATCCACCCGCCTTGGCCTCCCAAAGTACTGGGATTACAGGTGTGAGCCACCATTCCCGGCCATCATCTTTGTCTTAAAATGTGGCATCAACCCACCAGAATGGAGCTTTCTGACTGAAGATACCCAGAGAGAGTGCCCGCCCCGTGCAGAGGAAAGGACCAACAGGGCTTTGCAGAAGCAAAGACAATGCCCAGCTAACCCTTGATACCTGAGCAGCTGACAAACTCAGCATGTAGGCAGAAGTCCCCATGACACTTCCCAAGAGCTGCCAGCGCACCCTCCCTGCATAGTGCGTTATGTCCAGGACAGTTGAGAATCCCAAGCCAGCCTGTTAGGTGACCGACACGGGCCCTCGCTGAGCAGCGAGCAGAACTGCTGCCCTTGCCTGGGTTCTCCAAGAGCCTGTGATCCTCCCCAGCCCTCAGACAGCCCCGTCCACCCCAGGGCAAGGCGTTTCAGTGGGCTGTGAGGTGAGGTTCCTGAGAGTGAGTGAGAGGAGCGACTCTGGGGATTAACTGTCTTGGACACATCTTCCCTCAAGACCTCTGCTTCCCAGCCTAGCAATCTTTTTTGACTCCTTTCCTCATTCACTGGTGCATCCCTTAAATTTCTTCCATTGTTTTGTTTTTCTGGATTGCCTGCCACAGCCTTTCTGTTCATCTCTCCACAATCAGACCTGGGATCTGAACCCTGGGCTGACAGAGATGCCGCGAATCTGGCCTTCTGCGGCTCTGAGAGGATTGTCTGGGGACAAGTGTGGCCATGCCTGCTTGGGAGGTCAGTTCACCAGGAGCCACTGCCCTCAGTGCCTGTGTCCCTAGACTGAGGAGGGAGATGCTAAGGGTAGCCTTTCATACAGTACAGAGAGCCTGGGAAGATGAGATGGAGGTGAGGAGGAGATGTATCCAATCCAGAGGGAACAGGGAAGTAATGCTTGTTAAACGCCTACTGTATGCCAAGTGCTTTGCTGTATACTTATGGGTTACCGATTGAAGGTTGGCATGGGGCTAAAATTCCCTGTATCTTCTGGCCCATACTTTGTTTGATTAAAGACTTCGTTCTGTCTTGGAAGGTAATGATGACTGATGAACCTCTGAGAACAGAGGGTAAAGATTTTTAAACCACCCTCAAGCATAAGCCTTAATACCCTCAGTCAATCCAGGTCATGGTGCTCCTCCTAAGGCCATGAATTCCAGCCCGGGGAAGATGCTGGGGAACAGCTGGAAAAGCAGAGGATTCTAGGAATGTGAAGCTCTAGTCAGTAACCTCCTGTGGAAAGTGACTTCACCCCCAGGAGGCCAGAGCAGCAGCTGCTGCAAACCGAAAATGCCAGGAAGATCCATCTTCCCCTGCCCCTGGCCACCTCCAGGCTGGCCTCCGTTTCTGTGCCGTTTCTACGCCGTTTCTGTCCGGTTTGGCATTTCTCTGCTCCCCCAAGTCCTGGATCTGTGGGATGGCCCCTGACCACTGTACTACCTGTAAAGGCCTCCAGATGGCGCTTTCAGCTCATCAGTGGTCACTGCTTTGGTTTAAGAGTGAACAGAAAAGCTTGAGGAATGGCAGGTGTGTCCGGGTTACCAGGCCTCAATCCCTGCCCCCAGAGCAGCTCGGGATCCGTCCACCGTGAGTCCCATCCGGAGCTCCCTGGAGGAGGTTGTCCCTTTCAAGGCCAATCAGAATTTACGATAAGGTTGCCAAATACAGCAAATAAAAATACAGAATACCCAGTTAAATTTAAATTTCAGATAAAAAATATTTTTTTTAGTTTAAGTATGTCCAAATCATGTCTGTGTCATACTAAAAATTATTGTTTATTTGAAATTCAAATTTAACTAAGGCGTCTTGTCTTTATGCGGCAATTCTGGTTTAGGTTTCTTTACAGGAGTTCCCCATCTCTGTCTACTACATGCTTACAGAACATCTACCAGGCATGTGTGAGATATGGCAACATGAGCCAAGTGCAGCTTCTACATTTAGAGGTGAGTTTGAAAACGGGCATGTTGATGAACAATTGTAGAACAGAAAATGTAGGAAGCATGGGATAGTGAAAGAAGTCTGGACTTGGGTGTTTGCTTTGAGTTCAAGTTCCACTTCTGATGTTCACTAGCTGCGTTATCTTAGGTAAGTTATTAACCTCTCTGGGCCTCTGTCATTTACATGTGGATATAGGAATAATACCAACCTCAGAAGGTAACCAAGGAGGTAATAAGAAATTGTATGTATCTCATGCCTGGCCGCAGTCGGATCTCAATATATGCTAGTTTTATGAAATAATAGAACTGCCATAAGAAAGAGACAACTAAACATGCCATGGTAATGATTAAATTTACCTCCTTTGGGAGGCTCTCTACAAAGAATGTAACACTTCACTTTAATTTTATTATTATTTGAGATGGGGTCTGACTGTGTTGACCAGGCTGGTCTCAAACTCCCGATCTCAAGCAATCCTCCAATCTTGGCCTCCCAAAGTGCTGGAGTTACAGGTGTGAGCCACCACACCTGGCTCACACTTCACTTATAAATAGAAATAATAGCTATTGGAGTATCCAGGGTAAAAAAAGAAAAAGAAAAAAGAAATAATAATTAATACCATGTATTTAATGCCCACAACATTGTCCTAATAAACATGATCTCATTTAACATTTAATCCTTATATTAACTCCCCAAGGTATTTACTCTTATTGTCCCCAGTTTACAGATGGAGAAACTAAATTAAATAGCTTGCCATAGAGCTAGTAAGTGGTAGAATTAGTATGTTCACTCAAGTCCATCTGACTCCCCAACCAGTGCTCCTAACCTCTATCTTATGCTACCTTTGCATAGATTGGCCCTTGAATTTTGAGCTGGTGACCACTATGAAGAGAAGCACGGATTGTGCCTACTGAGCATCTGCCTACTGAGCAGATGGAGACGCAGAAGCTGGGAGGGGTGAAAGAATAGTCCTGGGGCCCTGAGTTGCTGGGCATTCTGGAAACAGCAGGTCATTGATGTTCACAGGTGTGTTTTAAGAGCTTTGCAAGTTCTCAATGTGCATACTAATTTCTATATAGAAGGTATAACTGGGGCGGAGAGGGGATACTGAGCAGCCTCTTGGCCCTAATGAAAGTTTTGTTAGTATTGGTAGTTACCATTTGTTGGATATTTATAATACGTCAGGCAATGCCAGGCATTTTCGCACATTATCTCATTTAACCATCACAACCACAGATGAGAAAAGCCAAGGCCAAGGTCACATAGCTAGGAAGTGTTGGACCCAGTGCTTGTGTAACTCCAGCAGGGTGGAGGGTTGATGCACTCTCTAAATAAGAGCTCATTCACTTCAAGGCGTGTAATTAAAATTCATTCCTCAGTAAAATTGTGTGTTACTTACACAAGTCCCTTGTAAACATTCAAAACTATGCCAAAAGTTTCCTATATTGCTGGAATCAGTCTTATTTCAGTGCCATGTTCCACTTTTAGCTAGTTTCGAATGAATAATGAACACATTGGTAACAATTACCAACATTGCAGCACCTCCCTACCTCCACCTCGCAGCCGGGGCAGGGCAGGCTTGCTTGCTCCAATCTAAACTCTAGCCCTGCAACTCACAGAATCAACCCACCCTCTTAGACTCCTCCCCTCCTCTGGTTTGCCCACTCACCTTAGGAAAAGTGCAGAAAGATCAGATTTTTTTCTTGCCCACTCACTTTGGGGAAAGTGCAGAAAGATCAGATTTTGTACTTTGCTAAGAATACGAAGTACAAGGTGCTAAGAATGCAAAAGTAGGTAAGACGTGGACTTGGAGTGTGAGGCCTTCCCACAGGGAAAGATGGGATAAGGATAATAACTGAAGGCAAAGGGCAAACTCTCTTTTTTTTTCCCAAATCATTTTATCTTTAATAATCTCACAGTAATTTAAAATATGAGAAAAGTCAAACATGCTCCCTTTACGGGTGATGCCACCAGGATAGGCTCACACAAACATAATCAATCGCCATGATGACACTGGATGCCACAGAGTATGGCTGGCAAAAAGGCATCAGGGCTCACAGATTGAGGAGTTTGGTTATGGAATCTCTGAGGGGTAACAGGCAGCAGAAGAGACATCAGTTTAACGGACTTTCAGAGGATAGGGCACGGTTACTGGGTCTTGAGCACCTTGAAGCGTTTCTTGATGGTGATTCGGTGGCAGGAGTATTTGTCATCTGGGGAGAGCCGAGCAGGATGGGCTGAGCAGGTCTGTTGTCCCATCGGGTCAAATTTCTTCAGCGTATAGACCCGATCTCCCTCCTCGTTGAGGTATTACTGGAGAAACATGATCACTCTTAAGCCAGAGGCTCCAATTCGGTACGCAGCTCCCAGGGCAAACTCTCTTTAAAAGTCTTGTCTTTGAAATCATATGATTCTTATATTCTACTTCATCTTATGTCTGTTTGTTTTAATATAAAAATGTTTACCTTAATAAATAATAAATTAAAATGAATAAAAATTAAAATAAATATTGTTTTCTGAATCTCTAAATAAAATTTAAAGATATATTTATTATAAATAAAATTCAAAAGGCCAGGCCTGGTGGTTGACACTTGTTATCCAGCATTCTGGGAGAGCCAGGCAGGAGTGGGGAGGGTCACTTGAGCCTAGGGGTTCAAGGCTGCAGTAAGCCATAATCACACCACTGCAATGTAGCCTGGGCAACAGAGCAAGACCCTAACTCAAAAAAAAAAAAAAAAAAAAGAAGAAGGCCAGGTGCAGTGGCTCACACCTGTAATCCAAGCACTTTGAGAAGCCAAGGTGGGAGGATAACTTGAGGTCAGGAGTTCCAGACCAGCCTGGCCAACATGGTGAAACCGTCTCTACCAAGAAATAAAAAAATTAGCTGGGGGTGGTGGCGCACACCTGTAGTCACAGTTACTTGGGAGGCGGAGGTGGGAAAATTGCTTGAACTCAGGAGGCAGAGGCTTCAGTGAGCCGAGATCATGCCACTGCACTCCAGCCTGGGCAACAGAGTGAAACTCTATCTCAAAAAAAAAAAAAAAAAAAAAAAAAAAAAAAAAAAAAAAAAAAAAAAAAAAAAAAAAAAAAAAAAAAAAAAAAAAAAAAAAAAGGCAATGCCCTAAATATAAATGAGGAAATGTAGCTAATCTATCATTCTTCCACCCTGTTTCCTTACATGAATCCCCATCCTGGAAGTTGTTTTAGCAGGTCTGAGAAGGACAGCCATAGGGATTTAAGCAGGATAGTTATATGATAAGATTTATTTTCTAGAAAGAGCTTTCTGACAATGGTATAGAGGATGGATTGGAGGTGAGAGACACTGAAGGCAGAGAGAGCAGATGGGAAGCCCTGCAGTAACCCAGGCAAGAGATGGTAAAGGTTAAGGAGATAAAGAGAAGAGTTTTTGAAAGGCATTTTAGAAGTGGAGGTCAGGCACGATGGCTCACGCCTGTAATCCTAGCACTTGGAGGCCAAAGTGGGTGGATCCCTTGAGCTCAGGAGTTTTAGATCAACTGGGAAACATGGTGAAAACCTGTCTCTATAAAAACACAAAAATTAGCTGGCACATGCCACATGCCTGTGTTCCCAGCTAGTGAGAGGCTGAGGTGGGAGGATCACTGGAGCTCGGGAAGTCGAGGCTTCAGTGAGCCGTGATTGCACCATTGCACTCCAGCCTGGGTGACAGAGCAAGACCCTACCTCAAAAACGACAAGTGGAATTAGGGTCAGGCACTGAGCTTACACCTGTAATCCCAACACTTTGGGAGGCCAAGGCTAGAGGATTGCTTGAACCCAGGAGCTTGAGACCAGGAGAATTTAAAGTGTCCTTTAATTCTTTTTTATCTCTACAAAAAAGAATGTTAAAGAATATTAGGCCGAGCGCGGTGGCTCATGCCTGTAATCCGAGCATTTTTGGGAGGCCAAGGCAGGCAGATCACAAGGTCAAGAGATTGGGACTATCTTGGGCAACATGGTGAAACCCAGTCTCTACTGAAAAACACAAAATTTAGCTGTGCGTAGTGGCGCATGCTTGTAGTCCCAGCTACTCGGGAGGCTGAGGTTGAGAAGTGCTTGAACCTGGGAGGCGGAGGTTGTAGTGAGCCGACATCACGCCACTGCACTCCAGCACTCCAGCCTGGCACCTGGCGACAGAGTCAGACTCTGTCTCAAAAAAAAAAAGAATATCAGCCAGGTATGGTGGCATGCCCCTGTGGTCCCAGCTACTTGGGAAGCTGAGGTGGGAGGATTGCTTGAGCCCGGGAGGTTAAGGTATAGGTAAGCCATGATCATGCCACTGCACTCAAGCTTGGGCAACAGAGCAAGACCTTGTCTTAGACAAACACACAAGCAAAAGAAGTGGAATTAATAGTTTCAGAAAACTGTCCTGGAGCCGGGCATAGTGGCTCATGCCTGTAATCCCAGCACTTTGGGGAGCTGAGGCAGGCAGATCACTGAAGTCAGGAGTTTGAAACCAGCCTGGCCAATAGGACAAAACCCTGTCTCTACTAAAAATACAAAAATTAGCTGGGTGTGGTGGCGCATGCCTGTAATCAGAGCTACTTGGGAGGCTGAGGCAGGAGAATTGCTTGAACCGGGAGGTGGAGGTTGCAGTGAGCCGAGATTGTGCCACTGCACTCCAGCCTGGGTGACTCAGCAAGACTCTGTCTCAAAAAAAAAATGCAAATCATATATTATCTGGTAAGGGATTTATGTCCAGAATATACAGAGAAATCCTAAAACTCAACAACAACAAAAAAACTGTCCAATTCGAAAATGGACACAGGACTTGACTAGACATTTTTGCAAAGAAATAACACAAATGATTGATAAGCACTGAGACAACATAAAGGGTCCAGCCAGCACTCTGCTGTTTAAGTTTTAGCCACCATCTGACTGCGATCACACCTTGAGCTACAGCCACCCAACCTCATGCTTCCTGAATTCCCAGCCCACAGAAATGGAGAAAATGGTTATTGCTTAAACCACTAAATTGGAGTGATTCATTTTGTAGAAATAGTTCATGGCACACGGTAAAATGTTAATATGTGGAGAATCTGGGTGAAGGGTATAAAGGAACTCTCTGTAGAATGATCCTGTACCTCATGTGTGACAAAGGGGTGGGGTTACAAGGATCATAGTCTCATCTCAGGATTACTCAGGGCAGCCTACACCACCCAAGTCTATACCTGTAACAATGAAGCCGAGCTGGAACTTCAGAATGAGAAAGCAAGATAAACTGAGTGTGCGATTTCCCTATTGCCTTGGTGACACCCAGATACCCTGCGGATGTAGTTGGAAACAACTTCAGTTTTCCAACTCTGTGCCTAGAAAAAAGTGTAGCCTGAGTTTTTACTCTCCTAACCCCTTGATTTGCTTTGGGAATTATTGTCTACAAAGGGCTCTCTCCTTTCTGAGAATTGCTTTAGGTGGAAGAGGATAGGATATGCTGTGTCCCCTCTCTTTTCTTAATCACTGTATTTGTAACTTTCTTCCTTCTTTTTCTCCAAGAAAATGGGCTCCGTTGGGGTGCTTTGGGACCAATAGTCCGAGGTGGAATCTGTGGGCGCTAGACAGGGAGATTTGGAAGAGAATGCTAAGCTGTGAGCTCTTGCTTTTGAGTTCTTTGAAGAGAATGCAGCATCTCTGGCATGTCAGCAAGCCCAGCAGAATTCAGTAATGTTCACCAAGAGGGCTTGGCTAGAGCCGGTTAAGGGATGATCAGAATGGTTAGGTGTGAAGAGCTTATGCTGATTATGGAGGGTACGGGAGTCACGGGGTTGGTGCCCAGTGAGGAAATTTACCTTAGTGGAAACCTTAGTGGAAACATTTGGGAGAGTGTAGAAGAGAGAAGAGCTAGAGGTGAAGATTCAGGAAATAGAGAGTGCCAGAGTCTCAATTACCAGGATGGAAAGCTAAGGAGATGGGAGACTTATAACAGTAGCACAGTACTGAGAGACAAACTATGTGTAAAGGTAATAAGAAAAATGTGGACTGAGACTCTGAGGCAGTTAGGCCAGAGAAAAGAAGAAGGAAAATATTTGTCTTCATTTGATTCAATCATGTTAACATTTCTCAGGATCTACTATGTGTCACATGCTGTGCCGGATGCTGAGGGAGGGGAGGAAAAAGACAGCATTCCTGCCCACCAGGGTCACAGAGCCTGACTGGAGACACAGACATGTAAACAAATGATGAGAGTGCAAGGTGTGTGTAAGAAAGGAGGAATGTACAGGGTGGGTACAAAGGTGACCTCAAGGCATCCACGGGAGTCAGGGCTGAGGGAAGAAGAGCCAGAAGACATCAGCACGAAGAGAAGCAAGATGCTGAAGTCACAGGGGGAAAGAACACACTGGAGCCCTGAGCAGAGCAGTGCAGGGCAAGGACAGCAAGTGTGGAGAGGAAAGGGGGATCAAGAAGAACGAGGAGATCCATAAAAGCATGCTTGGAGGAGGGAATTTGGGAACTTGAACGGACATGTCAGAGGGCACTAGTTATGAGGAAGTAGACTGCAAACCAGATAGTGAGCAAGATGAAGAAATAAGAGGTGTTTATCTGGGCCGGGCACAGTGGCTCACGCCTGTAATCCCAGCACTTTGGGAGGCTGAGGCGGGTGGATCAC